ACAATGAAATGGAAGTTACCAGTCCATACATATAGGTAGAGGGTGAGCAGTAAATTAGCATACAACATAATGAAGATGTTTAACAGATTCTAGGACCAAACAGGAATGATAAGCTTAGTATACATGGTTACCATTTGTCTGGGTTTAATTTGGGGGGGGGGAGAACATAGTGAAGGAAATAAATATGTCAAAATTGGAGCTAGATGGGCAGATGTATCCTCAATTGTGGAATGCTGAGAGTAGTTAACTGAGACCCTGCCATTATGTTCCATCCATCTCTCCTCAAGCATGGAGGTGACCTTACAGCTTTGCTGCCACATAACCCAAACAACACAATCACTGGACCTAACAACATCAATGGCACCATCTCAGGCTTATTCACATGCCCATCTTCTAACACTGTATATGCCATTAAATGCCAACAATGCCCTTTGGTTCTAAATATAAGGCAAACAGGTAAAACCCTACGCCAAAGGATAAATGGACACAAATTTGACAGCAAGTATGACAAGCCTGAGAAACCTGTTGGAGAACACTTCAACTTCTGAAGACATTCAATGGATAACCTCAAAGTAGCTGTTTTATTGCAAAAGAACTTCAGGAACAGCCTAGAAATTGCAAGTTATTACAGCACTCAGAACAATGGAATCCCTAGGACTTAACAGGGATATTGGTTTCCTATCTCACTACATATGCTAACCTCATTAAACATAAGAACATAAGAGAAGCCAATGTTGGATCAGGCCAATAGCCCATCCAGTCCACCACTCTTTCACACAGTGGCCAAAAATACCAGGTGATATCAGGAGGTCCAGCAGTGGGGCCAGGACACTAGGAGCCCTCACACTCCCCCCCAGCACCAAAAATACAGAGCATCACTTGCCCCGGAGTCCCTATCTATAGCTTGTGGCTAATAGCCACCAATGAACCTCTGCTCCATATACTTATCTAATTCCCTCTTGAAGCCGTCCATGCTTGTAGCTGCCACCACCTCCTGTGGCAGTGAATTCCATGTGTTAATCACTCTTTGGGTGAAGAAGTACTTCCTTTTATCTGTTCTAACCCGACCGCTCAGCAATTTCATGGAGCCCTTATATGCTTCACCAACCCCTAGAAAGGCCATACGTTCTCTATTTTATTTTCTTATGTGGAATAACAGATCACATAGTAGACTGTAATGTAACAAATAGCAGAGTGTAATATACTTTGGAATAGTAGATTTGAATGTATTTTTCTGGTTTGGGGACAGGTGAGATAACTCTACACAGCCAATCGCCCCCCCCTCAAAGAAGAATGTTTACTGCTCAACATTTACCTATATGTATAGACTGATAATTTCCATTTCATTGTATCTGAAGAAGTGTGCATGCACACAAAAGCTTACACCTTGAATAAAGCTTTGTTGGTCTTAAAGATGCCACTGGACTCAAACTTTGTTCTACTGCTTCAGACTAACACAGCTGCCCACCTGAATCTTAATGCAGTAATTATATTGCAAACCTAGAGTGTGACAGGCACTTCTCAGCAGCATCTACGCTAGTCATGAACTTGGCTAGCCAAACAGAACCACCAGCATGGGAACCACAATCAGTCAGCTTAGAATCATCAGCTTAGAATTTTGGGAGACATTTTTGGGGAGAAGCTAAAGAGTTTCCTTCTGAAACAAGCATCTTAATGTAAACAAGCAACATGTCTGCATTTAACCCAAATTTCACAATTCACATTAAGCACACACGTGAGGAAGCTTTTGCTAAATCTTAATTGAGAGCTGCAGATTCTTACAAGTGCTTTCATGCATTATACTAGAATTGCCTGCAAGTTTCTGTCACTATTTTTACTAACACGGGAGTACAGAAAGTAGAAGAGTCCCATGTTTAAAATCAAAAGGCCACCCTAACCAGCACAGGTTAAACACTTACACACTGCACAAAATGTGCCATTAGAAAGAAACCCAAATCACTCCAACGCAAAGCTATCCTGGCCAGACTGAATATTGAACCACGTTATCAACATATTCCACAGAGGACCATTGGAACAGAAATTTCACAGCCCAACTCACCCATTTGCAGTACAGCTTTATTTGGCAAGACTATCTCAGTGGACCATTTGTTTATAGTAGTGCTTGGGCACCAGATGTGCCATCAGCAAAACAAGTACAATCTACACTTGTGTGGGTCTCAAGGTGCAGTTGGAAAGCACCTGGAATGGCATCCTTGCTGAAGGTCTCGGTTTGGTCAGTGTCTGGCTAGGAATCTTACGCATGCCTGAGTTCTAGGACAGGTGAAAGGCAGGAGAAGCGCCATAAAATCAATTACCCTATTGGGTCCCTCAGCCTATCCCCAGAAGGAAAACTATTCTTGTCACAAGCTGTGAGTTAGGAGGAGGCACCGAATGAAAGAAGCTTCAAGGGCATGAGCAGGAATTAACGAGCAAGTGGCTTGGTCCCCCCCCCCCTCCACCCCACACAGGCAGATCGTGGCGAATGGGGAAAGGTCAAAACCAACTGGGCAGAAACCAGGACCACCAACAGGGGACCACACTTGAGGCTCTGAATTAGCCCACCGGACCTCCTTATCTCCAACAGACATCCCCTCCGACTGCAGATATGAAGCTAGACAAGGAAGGACCCGCGGGCGCCCCACGGTCTCGCCCGGAGTCTCCGGGTCGCAGCATCACCGCGTGCAGAACAGAAGAGGATGCCCCGGAGGACTGGACAAGCCTGGCTTTGGCATCGACACGGGGTGGGCAGCAGCGGACTGCCGCTACCGCCAAGGCAAGCTGGCCCGAGACTCAGGGAGGGGAACGGAGCGGTGGGGAGGAAAGCAGGCAAAGGAAGCACTTGAGGGTGTCTGTCGCCCCCCCCCCTTATTCCGCGGGGTGGAATAAGGACGACAGCCTCTCGTGGGTCTCGCCCGCCTCTCCTTTGTGGCACTGGCAAGGGAGCCGCTGCTGCCCAGTCCGGCATCAGGCACGCCCTCGGATCGGGGTCTGGGAAACGGAGAAGACAATGCGGGGCGCGGGGAGGTGGACGGCCACAGACGTTGCAGGCGCGCTGCTCGGTCCGGATCCAGCGCTGTTCCCGCCCCCCCCTACTGTCTGGGGGCTGCAGCCCCTCACTCACCCGCCTGGTGCGGGGCAAGGTGCCCCCCGAGGCCGCCAGCGCCCGTTCTAGCTCCGACGCCCGGTCCCCCAGGACGCCCGGCCCTCCCACACTCAGTGCCGCCACCGCCGTCGCCTCCCGCTCTGGCTGCCCGGGCCGGAGTCTCCGGAGTCTCCGCAGGGTCATGACCAGGCCGTGGGGAAAGGGGAAGGGGGCGGCTTCAACGCGGGGACCTATATGGACTCTTACCGGGGGCGGGGGCGGAGCATCGCAGAGGGCCCGCCCTCCCCAAACTAGACCCCGCCTCCTCTTTTCCCTCTGCTTGTTGAAAGGCCTCTCCGGACGAAGAGGGGATGCTTCGAAACCGGGGAAGCCACGCCCTTGCGGCTAGTCCCCGCCCACTGGCACGAGGGCGCCCCGCCTCCAACCGGGAAACCCGCCGCGTGGGGATGTTGCAGTTCGGAGAGGCGGAGAACTCTTATCTCGCGGGTGGCCTTTTCAAGGAGGCGACCCTTCCGCGCTTTCGCTTCCTGCCAGGGAAATTCCGAAACGTTAAGACACGTCACGCCAATCAACCCCGGTTAACTCCTCGGTATGGCGGTCGGCCCCCGTTTCACACGAGCTCCACCCTCTTCCAGTAAAGACAGAGCCCCCCTGCAGG